AGGTCCCTGGTTGGTGGCGTGTGAGAGTTCACATCGATATTTCTCTCTCACATTCATGTTTCTCTCCCTTTTTCTTCCTCCCTTCTCTTCTCTCTTAAAAAACAAAACAAAACACCTTTGAAAAAACAGAAAAAGAAAAAGTAGGGGTTCAAACATTGTATACCAGTGTTCACAGCAGCACTGTCCACAATAGCCAAAAGATGGCAACAGTCCAAGCATCCATCCACAGATGAGGAATCAGCAAAGTATGGTATATAGTTACCAAGGAATATTATTCAGCCTTTAAAAAGGAATGAGACCTGGCTGTTGTGTCTGAGCACTGGCCTGTGGGTCAAGGGGTTGCCAGTTTGATTTCCAGTCAGGGCACATTCCTGGGTGGCAGGCCAGGTCCCCAGGTGGGATGTGAGAGAGGCAGCCGATCAATGTTTCTGTGGCACATCCACATCAATGTTTCTTTCCCTTTTTTTCTCCCACTTTTTCTCCCTAAAAAAAAAAAAAAAAATCTTTTAAAAAAATTCTGATACATGCTACAGCATACCTGGACTTTGGAGACTTTATGCTAAATAAATAATAGGCTAGACACAAAAGGACACAGTGTATATGATTCCACTTATGTGAGGAACCTGAATAGGCAAATTCATAGAAATGGAAAGTAGAATAGTGGTTACCAGGTGGCAGAGGGTGGAGAGTGGGAAATGGAGAATTGTTGGTACAGAGTTTCTGTTTGGGATGATGAAGTAGTTCTGGAAATAGTGGTGGTAGTTATACAACATTGTGAATGTACTTAATGCCACTGGATTGTACGGTTAATAAGGTAAATTTTATGTTGTATGTGTTTTACTATGATTGAAAAACCACTATGCTTACGTACCTACCTCTCACTGTCAGGGAAGTTCTGGAGTCTAAATTAAATACTGTGTGGTTAGGCTAAGCCCATTGCCATTGCTTCTAGTCAGTTTCTTGATAAAAGCTGAATTGATATTCTTTTCAAATGCTCCAAGGCAGCTGTATCTCCTCCTTCCTGCATCCCTCCCCAGGGTGACTGGAGGGTATTTGGCACATCTTTAATAGTTTGGATTACTCTTCTCTCTGCTTTTTGGTACTCTAAATCAAAATTCATTATCTTTTGTGACATATTTGGAAAATTCCTTGCTGAGCTCTCCTTCTGTTTCATGTTTTCAGTCAGGCCCCCACATGCCCAGAATTTCTTTTTATAGTGAACCAGTGAGTTTCATGTTTCCAACCTATTCCAGGATGGAGTTGGCTACAGTTATATATTTTAGCTAACTCTACCTTAGGGACAAAAGGTGGTCCTTATTTTATTTCTGTACCCCTCCAATCCTTTGGAACTTCCTCTGTGGCTGTAGGTGAATTACTGAATGTCTTTGAGCTCTGTTTGTCAGCTGTAGGGGGCAAACATTTATTTCTACCCCTCCTTCAAACATCAATAGACGTGACTTAACAAGAGTTTAGGGACTCAACACATTTTTGAGTGTCTTATGTTAGGCTTCTGTTTTAGGGGGTCTGTTATATTTAGCGTCCATCATGAGATGATTTATAACAGGGTTTAGTAGATTTATATAATGTGTTCAGAGAGAGGATTGTGAGTAGCCGTAGCAGTCCTCTAAATCCAGAAATAATGTGTTTCTAAAGTCTTTGTGCAGTTTTCAGAAATGTCAGTATAATGGAAACAAGCTGATATTTATATTATTAAATTGTTTTTTCTTTCATTGATTCTAGAGAACGGGAAAGAGAAACATCTGTGTGAGAGAGAAACATCAATCAGTTGCCTCTTGTCCCAACCCCAACCCAGGGCTGAACCTGCAACTCGGGCATATGCCCTGACCGAGAATCAAACCTTCAACCTTTTGGTTTGCAGGACTATGCCCAAGCAACTGAGCCATACCGGGCAGGGCACAGTCTCTGCTGCTCTTTAAAGAGACATGGAATTTTCTGTCCACAGATGATTTGGCTGTCAATTCTATTAGCTGTAGGGACAATTTGCCTACACTTTTCACAGTGGCCACTTTTTGTCACAGTATCTGAAAAACAAGAATATGCTTGTACAGTTTTATAAATGTAATCATCTTAAACTTGTATAAAGTTTATTTATTTTCAGATTGTTTCCAGTGAACCTGATATGTGAGATGTTAAAGTTTAAATGTGCCTGGGGACTCCATGAGACCCTTACCTACTCCATAGTGAGGTGGTTCTGTGTGGCCTGTCGGAAAGGAGATAGGTCTTCCTGGTCAAAGAGGAAGATGGTCAGGAGCCCGTTAGGCAGTGGGATTTAGAACAGAGAGACAACATTGAAATGCTTAGGTGTTTGGGGCCTAAGGCTTTTTCTGTGGTTGAGTTTGACATCTTGGCAGTCTGGAGGGAATAATCCTTGAACTCTTTAGACTTTTTGTTTATATATGTTTTCGCTCATAGCAGCTCATGCAGTCTCTAGAATACCTTCGTGACATGGATAAGTATTTCCAGCTGAGGCTTGGAGAGTTAGTTAAATGGCCTATTGGGGATTCCCTAGCCAGTAAGTGGCAAAGCTGAGACTCACATCTGTATTTCTGATTTTGTGCCTTGTATTTTCTTGGCTGTGTCTTATGGGATCTAGTAAGATCTAGTCAATTTGTATCTGAAGCCTGGACAGCTTAGCAGGATGTGTTGCAAAAGCATGGGAGGCAGAACTGATTCAGCCATTGTTTCGCCTCTCCAAGCCTTGTTTTTCTTAACCATAAAATTGAGATACTAATACCTACCTTGAAATGTTATTGTAAGGACTAAACGAAAGATTGTAAGTAAATTACCTGACACATAAGTATCCTTTTCTCTACCACCCTATCTTAGCCCTCACATTTAAATACCAAGACAGGTAAGTGGTTTTTAAAATATATTTGGCAGAAAATAATTAAAATAATTATGTATGGACTACTGTGTGGCAGTATTGAACTACAGGGCCTTTGCTGTCAGAGTAGAGGCAAGAATACACAGGAAAAATATAACATTTCCAGAACAAAACACAAATAAATCAGGATTAGTGTGATCCTATCCTAACAAATCAGTGACCCAGTAAAAAAGAACAAGGTGAGATTCACCAGGAAGACTCATCAAGAGGTCTTTCTTTAAGATTTTATTTATTTATTTTTTAGAGGAGAAGGGAGGGAGAAAGAGAGGAGAGAAACATCAATGTGTGGCTGCCTCTTACATGCCCCTTACTGGGGACCTGGCCTGCAACCTAGGCATGTGCCCCAACTGGGAATTGAACCAGCGACCTTTGGTTCACAGGATGGCGCTCAATTCACTGAGCCACACCAGCCAGGGCTCGTCAGGAGTTTTGAATAAGAAAGTACAGGGTGCAGATTGACGAGAGTGTGAGCGGTGGTAGTGATACAGCTATAGGGAGAGTGAGTTCTAACTCAAGGGACTTACATGAAAGAAAGCACAAATATAAGAACAACAAGTCTTTGAAGGGATATTTGAACCACACTTGATGCCCTTAACTCTTACTATGTTTATTACAGTTATTGGGATACTTGTCATTCTTCCTACTGAACTGTAAGGTCCTTGAAGGAAGGGACTTCTTTTGTCTTGGCACACACAGAAAATCTTTGAAAGACCCTGGAATAAATGGTCCAGGTTTTGCCTCTGGAAACCCACAAGCCAGGAGTCTGCATGCTCCAAGTCCTGCAGGGTGCCCTGTGGGCTGAGTGGACCAATATCATAGCTGTAACCCAGCCATGGGACACCAGTTGGGAAGCCCTGTCTACAGTACATAGCACGGGGTCCTGTGTAGAATAGACGCTCTCTCTCTTTTTCTTAATTAAAAAAAGTATTGATTTTAGAGAGGAAGGGAGAGACAGAGAGAACCATTGATTTGATATTCCACTGACACATGTGTTCATTGGCTGACTCTTTTATGTGCCTTGGCTGGGGATTGAACCGGCAACCTTGGCGTATCAGAACAGTGTTCTGACCAACTGAGCTATCTGGCCAGGGCCTAGAATAGGTTTTCTGTAATCAAAAGGTCCTGGTAGCAGAAAAATCCAGAAAGGAGAGATGAGAGGGTCAGCTGGAAAAGGCAGAGGATTTGAGTCCTTGTAGAATCTTGCAGGTGAGTGGGATTTTAGATTCCTGCCTAATCCACTTTATTTACAGATGCCCAAACCAAGGTCCTGAGAACAGATGGACAACTTTTAAGTTTCTTAGTTTGGGGAATACTTTTAAAAATAAAATGTTAAACTTGCTATTCATATGCCTTGCATCTTTCTGATATTTGAAGATACTGGAAACTGGTATTGTGTTAAAAGTTTAGATATTTTCAGTGTGAGAGCTTATATTAGAAACAATTCTGATGAGTCAGAGAGAGAACACAGATGACCTGTTGTCTTGCCCCAAATTCTCAGTCATCATTTGCTTGCTGTCTTTCTGGACATGAACAACTGCTTGGCAGACAATAGATCAAACTTGGAGAGGGAATGGATTTCTCCAATGGCTTTGACCTTTAATGCCTCATGGAAGAGTAGTTAACACACCACTTAATCCCACTGGAGTTCCCCAGCCCTGTGGTTATGTAGTCTACGTAAGTGGTTTTAGAAGTGAAGCTGAGATTGGGTGAGATTGTGGGCCAAATCCCATTCATCTTCTAGTGGGCAGACTTACAGGAAGAAGAATGGGTATAGCTTTTTATTTCCACCGAAGACTAAATGGGAGGAAATAGTTTTAATTTAAAGGACTAGAAATTGATGCCAAGCAGGCTCTGCAGCAGGTCTGGGGATGGGGAATGGAAGACGAGGGGAGGTCAGTGCATACCCCACTCTCTGATGTTTGAGAGCAGGAAGGGAGCTCTGCTATTGGACCGGCCTCCGTGGCTGTGCCTCTTGTGCAGAGCCGGGGCCTGGAAGATGGCCGCCGTCACCTGGTCCTTCACAGGTGCTTTATGTAATGTGTTGCCTCCGACGTTCTTAAACAGTGAGGCCTTATGCCATTTCTTTTTTCCGTAGTCAGATTCCGAGGAAGATGAACCCACAAAGAAGAAAACTGCCCTTCAGGTAAGCTTTGTGACACAATAGAAACTGTTTCTTCTCTTCCCATATTGCTTCCTGAAAGACAGCATTTACAGCGCCCAGCGGTTTCCAAATCAGAAAACTCAGGTATTTAAGGATTGACTATTGAAGTATGATTTTGTGTTACTTGATAACATTGGCTCTTGTGCTTCTTTGTCCTCTCCTCACTGTTCCCTGGCTATAGTGTGGTGGTGTTACCTCTCTTAAAGGACAGGCAGTGATAAGGAGATGAATTGGAACTCAGTTTGATTCATTACATTTCAGGTAAAAGGATTATTTAGGAAAGATAGAATAAAAGGATCAGTTGAAATGATGTTAGGGAACAGCTATGTTTTCTTTATTTATTTAAAAAATATCTTTAAGATTTTACTGTTCAATTAAAGTTGACATACAATACTATATTAGTTTCATGTGTACAACGTGTGATTAGACATTTATATAACTTAGAAAGTGATCACCCCTTTCAAGTACCCACCTGACATCATACATAGTTATTAATATTATTGACTGTGCTGTGCTTTACATTCCCATGACTATTTTATAACTGCCAGTTTGTATTTCTTAACCCTTTTTCATCCAGCCCCGTAACCCCTGTCTCATCTGGCAACCATCAATTTGTTCTCTGTATTTATGAGTTTGTTTTCTAGAATATCTGTGTTGTAAAATTGTCCATCTTCTCCTTGTCTCATTTTTAGCCTGGAAAATAAACACTTAAATAGCACTTACTGTGTACCAGGCGCTGTTCTAAGTGCTTCAGTTGCATGTAATTGATTTAATCCTTATAATACTGCCTAAGTCATAGTGTTATCATCATCCCTATGTTACTTATGAGGAAACTGAGAGCTCAAGGTCAGACAGCTGGGAAGAGGGGACAGAGCTGTGCTTTAGACTTAGGCAGCCTGACTATGGAGTCCAAGCTGTTACCTGCTGCATTTGGCTGCTGCCCCGTAATCAAGACCAGAAGTCCTCAACCGGACAATGCAAAGAAATTCTCTCTCCGCTGTTTGCTTTGTTCCCCCGTCCCAGTTCTTTTATTCTGGCTCCCAAGATTTTCTTCCTGTTCTACTCCACACTTGGTGTGGGTCAAAATTTGTCTTATCTTTATAAGGCGGTTGTCTCATGATTCAGGTGTACGATGCTAAAGCTGCCCATTTCCCTAACTCTGTTAAGGTGTCGATTCCACTGCTGAGAGGTCTTAGGGGGTGCAGTCATGTGGAAATTAGAAAGGTAACTGGCCAGAGTGACACTGTGTCCATATTTGTGATGGGTGATGATGGAGGAAACTGGCATGCTGAGATTGAAGGAGGCCAGTTGTTACCCTGTTACCGAAGTGGCTTCCTGGAGGAGGTAGACTGGCATATAAATTGATGGGAGGACACTGGCTCAGATCAGAAGACACCCCAGTAGTAAAGAGCAGTCTTCCAGGTGGTAGGAAGAGATGCATACTGTAGATAGAGAAACTGAGCTGTTAGGTGGAGTGGGGACCCAGCACTGCACAGAGATGTAGCCATGATGCAGGTGTTGTCTGAGAAGTCTTAACACTTCACAAGGCACCCTGAGGATGTGCTCCACCTGGCTTCTTGCTCGGTTCCTGTGACTCTTGAGTCTCTGGGGACTGCCCGGCTAGAGCAACTCAAACCTGTGAGCATAGAGAGCCAGGGGGAGGAGCCCATTTTCTGGGTGAACAGTTCTGTGTGGCCTGCTTGACTCAAAAATCTTGTTTATGTGCCTGGGCATTTCTTGGCCAGGGGTACCATAGTGCACTGGTACTCAAAGACCAATGACTTCATTTTGTTCTCTTTTTTCAAATTGGCCCTTTCCTCAGCCGTACAGTTAGACCATGCTGGCCCTGTAGCATACAGAAAGCAGAATCTGAGAGATTCTTATGATAAGTTAAATGCCAGGCTCTGGCACATCCAAGCTGAATATAGCACATCTGTACGACTTTCCTTGGGCAAGGGAGGGGCCTTTTGACAATGCATATGAACGTCTCTTTTGGACAGAGGCTTATTCTTGACTTTGAGTACCAATCCAAAGGAAGCAGCAAGTTTCTGTGTTAAGAGGAACCTTCAGGACATGGAAAAAGGTTGAGTGAACAGCTGGAGAGAGCCCTGGGCTTACTGGGAAGAAGGCTGATATGAGGTTAAGAGCATCCTAGTTGCCAAATACACAGAATCAGGAAAGGCTCGATGACAGAGGGCAGTGGGGCTGGGTTGGCATGGAGCCAAGCAAAACGGTGATGCCATCTTACCTTGGGAGAAGCAGCCAGCGGAAGGGCCCAGGCAGGACTTAGGCTCAGACTGGACCACTTGAGTAGGTGAAGGTGAGATGGCAACAGGACTGTTAAGATTTTAGGCTAGAGCATATATCCGTAATTCTTGTTCTTGACGTTAGTAGTACACATCATAACATTTCACTTGTCATTTTTCTTCCCTCCTTCCCCAAACCCGGGCTCACTAGGGATCTGGCCAGGGGACTGGTTTGTCTGCCTTGCTTCCCCAACCTAAAAACCTGACTGTGAAAGAGACTAACAGGTTGCTCCTGCCCCATGCCTTCTCTCGGAAACCCTCGGATGGCTCCTCTGATGCTAAGCCCTCCCGACAGGCTTCTAAGACCAAGCCCTCCTCCCTTGCCCCTGTTGTGGGCACCACGACCACCACTCCATCGCCCTCTGCCATCAAGGCAGCTGCCAAGAGTGCTGCCCTGCAGGTGACGAAGCAGATTACGCAGGAGGAGGACGACAGTGATGAGGAAGTAGCCCCTGAGAACTTTTTCTCCCTCCCGGACAAGGCTGAGCCACCTGGAGTTGAGCCATACCCTTACCCCATTCCCGCTGTCCCTGAAGAGCTGCCTCCAGGCACGGAACCAGAGCCGGCCTTCCAAGATGATGCAGCCAATGCCCCCCTTGAATTCAAGATGGCAGCAGGCTCAAGTGGGGCCCCTTGGATGCCTAAGCCTGGGGACGACTACAGCTACAGTCAGTTCTCCACATACGGCGATGCCAATGCTGCTGGTGCTTATTATCAGGTGGGTAGGAGGGAATGTTAGAGCATGGCGATCAGGGAGAGCTTTCAGCCAGTGACACAGCCTCTGGGCCATCACTTTGGCTGAATTAATGAATCTTGTAGTGGTTTTCCTATACTTATCAGGCCTCAAAACATACTACCTTTGTTTTTTTAAAGATTTTTGTTTATTTTATTTTTAGAGAGAGGGGAAGGGAAGGAGAAAGGGAGAGAAACATCAATGGTGCAAAAAAAAAAAATCGATCTGTAGTCTCTCTCACACGCCCAACTGGGGATCTGGCCCACAACCCAGACATGTGCCCTGACCGCGAGTCCAGCTGGCAACCTTTTGGTCTGCTGGCTGGCGCTCAGTCCACTGACCCACACCAACCGGGGCTCAAAACATACTACCTTTATTCTGAACCATATTTGGTCTAAAGTTTTCTAAGTCTTGACATCTAACAGGTAGAACCGCATAATTAACATGTATATTCTGAAAATTTTATTGGAGGAGGTGGTAAGAGATACAGGGAGAGGGCAGAAGAGGAGTGGTCTCTAATCTTAGAGATCCAAGATAGTTCAACAAATGTGGATGATGAAGATAAGTGAGCTGTGGCCTAGACTTCTAATTTCAGTGAAGCCAAGAGGAGTTTCTGGACATGGAAAGTACTGAGAACACAGAAAGGAAGGGGAGAGGTGGGACTGGGGAGGAAGGAGGGGATCTGCAAAGTTGAATGAAAACAGGGAATAAGCAGACTGGTGAGAGGCCATGACCTTGTCATGAGAAGTTCAAAGGACCTAGGCAAGGTCCTGGGAAGGGGAAACTAGGCGCCATAGTTGGGCTGTGATAGAGAATGAGATCTGAGGGTGGTTTGGGGTTTGAATCCCAAGCTGTGTGTCTGGGCAAATCCTTAACTGTCTGTCTGAGTCTCAGATTCCTCAGCTATTAAATGGGAATGATAATGGCAACCTCATAGGGTTGTTAGGAGAATTACATTAGCTTAGCATGGTGCCTGGACCATTGTAAATGCTCAGTAAATAGTTAAGATAACTTTATTCAAATGTTATTTGAAAGAGCTATCTAGATTGTTCTGTGTGGCCTCAGAGAGTGAGAGTATCGGAAGCCAGGTTGTAAAGAGGTTTAAGAAGACTTTCCCAGCAGTCAGAGCTTCTCTGGTTGGAGAGGGATCCTAGGAGTTTGGGGACTTGCAGAAGCAGTGGTTGAGCAGAGGCAGCTGGCTCGTCCCAGCTGGGCAGCTGTAGAAAGTTTTCCTGCCAGCCTGGGGTGGTTGGAAGGTTTAAGTCCTTTTGTGATTCTCTGACTGGTCACTGTTAATCTTGCCTTCAGTCTGGGCATGGGTAGGGACCCTTTTTAGATCAAAGACTTTAAACAGTTGTGTTTCTTAGATATTTGCTGTTAAGCCTTGTATTCTGTGGCTGATCAGGGACTAATCTGCCTTCCCTAAACATTGTTAGAAGGATTCTATCTTCCCTAAACTTTGTTAATCTGTCTTCCTTAAACATTGAGAGTGTTTTAACCTCTTTTGCACCATAAAAAAAAAAAAAAAAAGGAAAGAAAGAAAAAAAGAAAAAGAAAAAAGCCCTGGCTGGTACCTTGGTTAGGGCCAAGGTCCTTACATGCCAAGGTTGTAGGTTTAATCCCCGGTTAGGGCACATACAGGAAATCAACCAATGAATGCATAGGTGGGTGGAATAACAAATTGATATTTCTCTCTCCCTCCCTCTCTCTCTAAAATAAATACATAAATAAAATTTATTTAAAAAGATGCTATTTAAATCAGAAATTTCTGGTTTACATTCAGCAAATGAATAACAAAATGGAATTCTGTATCCACTTATAAACACTGTTGAGGCAATCTGTGCAAATAAAGGCACTTTAAATGCACTAGAGGACCCTGTGATGTAAATATCTTATTGTTACTAAAGGTGACCCTTGAACAAGGAGCGGGTTGTGGGGCTGACACCCTCCCATCTCCCACAGAGTCAGAAGTCCTCCTGTAACTTTCCATTCCCCAAAAACCTAGCTACTAAGAGCCTACTGTTGACCGGAATCCTTACCAATAACATGAATAGACAATTAACACACACTTTGTATGTTATATGTACTATATACTGCTGTACTTTTAAAGTGAGCTACAGAAGAGAAAACTGCACTTACGGGGGCGGGGGGGATCCATGGGAGTGGAGCCATGCAATTCAAATCCCTGTTATTTAAGGGTCAGCTATACTTTTATGGAAAATCATGCTCTTAATCACTCTGGATTTTTATATCATTTGATTTAATCATTATTAAACCTTATTTTCCATTTAGCTCACTATAAAGTGAATGTTTTTAAAGGGGCATTTTTTTGGAGTTTTGGGCAAAGATAGAAGGATTAGAAAAAAGTGTGGTCAGGGTGGAAATAGTTTCTCAACCCTGTGGCTGCCCGGCTTGGCCTCCGCAGGGGTTTTGCCTTCTTCTAGGGTCCCCAATATCTGGATAGCTCGCCCTTAAGGAGAATTATCAGATTCCTGAACCAAAAATCTGGTAACACAAATCTGATTTGTTCCTAGAGATCTGAAGCCTCCCCATCCATTCATTATTGTAGGCAGTCTCCCTGTGTCCAGAGGCCCTAAATAGGATGAGGAGCAGAAGTGACATGTCCTCACACCTTCTCACCCCTCTCACCTCAGAGCTTATCAGGGTCTTATGAGCAGGAGGAGCAGAGCTCTGGGCACAGCAGGCGTAAAGGGGTGGAATCACTCTCAGGAAGCAGCTGAAGGAACGGTGTAAACCGAAGCAAAAGAGAACATCTTGTTTCTTGTTAACCTTTCCTAAAAAATACCCATTTGTCTGGATGGTGCATATCAGAAAAGCCGAAGAAACTGTTCTTGAGTTTAGGTCCTTAGGATCTGTGCCTTTAATGGTCCATTTGAGGGGTCTTTGGTGTGGGCATCACCAATGCCTCTTTGATGAGGGTTTTCTCTGTCCCTGGGCAGACCTTGTTCCCCCTGCTCCACTGTGCCCTCAGTTGGTGAGTTTTTCTTTCCTTGGCTGCAGGATTATTACAGTGGTGGCTACTATCCTGCACAGGACCCGGCCCTGGTTCCCCCCCAGGAAATTGCTTCGGATGCCTCCTTCCTCGATGACGAAGCAGTAAGTTAACAAAGCACAAAAGGCCATCCCTGACCCACAGATAAAGCTGAAGCTAAAGGAAATTCTTTTTTAAACTATATTCAGATAGGACTAGGTGTGGTAGCATATAACAGAATTTCCAAATAATAGGGCTTCTGTAAGAGAAGGTACTGTTTTCCTCATAAAAGAAGACTAGAGGTAGATAAGCCAGTCAGGGCTGGTGGGACAACTCCACAAAGTTGTCAACTATCCAGTTACCTTCTGATTGTTATTTTAAGGTTGTGGCCTTTATTCATGTGGTCAGTGATAGCAGCTAAGGCTACAGCGGTCACATCCGCATTCCATCTAGCCCTCCAACAGGGTGGAAAAAGAAAGAGAAGAGACAGTTTCCCTCCTCTTTTAGATTTCCCAGAAGTTCCTAAGTTCACTTTCACTTCTGTTTCATTGACTAGAATCTGGTCACATGGCCTTATCTAGTTGTAGGGGAGCCTAGGAAATGTAGTCTTTTAGTTGAGTGCTAATATTCCTAGCCAAAATGTTGGGTTCATTCACATGACAGGAATAGGGGAGAATGGATTTTGGGAGGGAGCAACAACCACGGTAAATAATCCTTGGTTCATTTAACTGGATCCCCTGCTGCTGAGCTACCCAACCTCAGCGCAAGGGGACGTGAAAACCCCATGTCCTGCAGGCTTCAGGCCATGTTCAGGATATAAAGTATTGTTTCATCTGTAGGGATGTCCCAGCCTGTGTTGGTGGGGCGGGGGCAGGGGGTGTGGAGAAATAGAGCGTGCTACCTCATTCGGTGCAGGCGCTTAAAAAAAAATATTTTCTACTCACCTGTTCACAGAAAGGTACCCATCCCTTCGTGTACTTCTCTGCATGTGGTTAATACTGTGTTCATCCACTCTCCTGTATATGTCCTTCTTGACAAGTTCCATAGTGAGGTTCTTTTTGTTCTAAACCTAGGAGGCATCAGGGAGCTTATCCAGTGGCAAAAGTCATTTTCTTGTGGGTAGAATGACCTTAGAGGGCTCACTAATGCTCAGACAGGGACCTGTGTCTCACTGAAGTTCCTGAGGGTTTTAATTTGATTGCTCAGCACCCATACTCTCTTCCAGGCACATCTTTGGGTGACTCTGAAATGATAGCATGTTTTGTGAGGAGGAGGAAGAAAGAGTATAGCCTCCTTCTTGGAAATTTACCAGGCCTTTTTCCGTGAAGCTCCCTCTCTACCCAGCTGAATGTTTTCTCTCATTGATGTATGCCCTGGTGTGGGGTCTGCTGAATTGGTGATACCAAACCAATGAGAAGGAACAGGCCTGTAAAAAGAACTGATGTTTGGAGGAGGATTCCTGGATTTTTTTTTTTTTCATTCCAAGTTCTTAATTTGAAATTAAGATAAAGTTTATAGTAAGTTGAGTGTAAATTCATACCAGTTGTTATTGGTACTCACTTATGTTTGGAAATGTCTCTTGACCTCCCTTTCCCTGAGTCCAGGAGAGCCGAGAAGTAGCCGTGCATCTCCCATCAGGGCAGTTCGGTAGGTGGCAGGATGAAAGAACATATTGCACAGAGGGGGAACGAGGGTGCAGTGGGATTGGGCAGTCACAAGACTATTCTGTAACATATGGGTCCTTAGCCACATCTCCTAATCCCCCACCCAGATCCCCACACTTGAATTTTTTCTCCTTTTCCAGTTTAAGCGGCTGCAGGGCAAGAGGAACCGAGGTAGGGAAGAGATCAACTTTGTGGAGATCAAAGGGGATGACCAGCTCAGTGGGGCCCAGCAGTGGATGACCAAGTCATTGACAGAAGAGAAAACCATGAAGTCATTCAGCAAAGTAAGTGGGAAGGATCTGTTGGGTGGCAAACTTGGGAGGCCCCCTAAGTCCTGCTCCCTACTGTTACTGTCACAGCACCTTTAGCAAACACCTGTTATCAGTGGTACTGGAGTATGCACTGAGCCTCACAGATACTGCTCCTGCCTTCCAGAACTTTGCGGAACTTTGCTCTCCATCTGGGTTGTGCAGTCTGTATGCTGAGGTTGGATGGTGGAACAGTTTCCCGGTTGGAAAGATCTCTGATATGCTGTGGCTTCTTCCCTGGCTGGACATAATCCACAGCTGCTCTGCTCTCTCCCTACAGTCATATCCCTTTCTCCATCCCATTAAGCTGGGGCCTGGCTCAGCATATCTTTGACATGTGGGCACCGCAGAGCCTCAGAAGTCCTGGGGTCCTAGGTTCTGAGTGTGCAACCCCTCCTCTCTCTTTCTGTTATTTTTTGTAGCCCCCTGTGACCTCTTCACATGTTATATTCCTCACATTCCCACACCACCATCCCACCTTCCCTGGGCTAGTTGTCTTCAGTTAGAATGATGAACATCTCTTCACCCAGTAGCTCAGTACAGCAAGTGTGGACATTTATGATCCTGCCACGGGGGGAGAATGTGGGGAAGCCCTGGATTCCAGCCCAGCACCAGCAAGGTCAAGGTCGGGCATCTTACTCCTTTCTCCTGTTTGCTCTGTTCAGTAGCTACAGATGGTCATCGGAGCCCTAGCCATTTGTTTTAACTGAATGTTGTAGGTCATATAGGACAGAGCAAAGCATAGTGGTTAGATCAGCATAGATCCATCACTGTTTACTGGAAAAACCACTTAGAGCGTTCTCTAGTAACTGTGGGTCCAGAGGTATCATCACATAGTAATAGCGACTGTTGTTAGCATTCACTGTGGACCAAGTATAGAGCTGGATGTTTTATGTTTATCAGCTTTAGCTGTCACATTAAATGACATTAAGTAAAGCAAGGATTGGAGTTTGCTGTTTTCCCTGGTCCAGGTTTTCTTTCCACCATCTCATTGTATTGAATTAGGTTTTTTTAAGAAAATATTTTATTTCTTTCTAGAGAGAGGAGAAGGGGGAGGGAGACAGGGAAGAAGAGAAACATCAAACATCAATGTGCAAGACAAACATCTATCAATTGTCTCTTGCAAGTCCCCAACTGGGGACCTGGCCCGCAACCCAGGCATGGGCCCTGACTGGGAATTGAACCGGCAGCCTTTCAATTCTCAGGCCGGTGCTCAATCCACTGAGTCACACCAGCCAGATCTTGAGCTAGATTTTTTTAAAAGAAGACAATGATTCAGTTCCTTTCCTTGCAGAGTTACAGTGTAGTTGGGAAAAAGAGATTTGAGGACGCTTGAGTGTAAATGATTACAGTGCAAATTGATTACATAAGTGCTGAGGAGACTCTAGAGAGGAGTTTTGGGAGTTGGGTGGGGCTGATTAGGAAGCTTCTAGTCCGAGACAACACTGGCAGAGGACAGAAAAAGTGCAGAATGAAAGCCCAAACCAATACAGATTTTGACAGATCATTTGCATCACAGTTTTGTTAGGGGTTCAGTGCTGTTACTGGTGGAAGTCGAAAGATTGGAGAGAGGTGGAGCGATGATGGTGAAAATTCTAGTTCCAGAGATGGTAAAAATTCCAGTTGCAGGGATGGTGAAAATCCTAGGTCCAGGGAAGCTGTTGGTACTTGCTAGAATGGGGGAAGCGGGGATTCAGCCAAAGGTGATTGATGGGAGAGTTTGGTAAGCTCTAGGTAGGAGACAGGCTAGACATCTGGACTGATGGGGGAGTAGGGGACAGAGATGAACAGGAGTCAGTGGGTTGTGAGATGGGAGGGAGGTCACTTGTGCTCTGGCACTTAAGCTGTTTTAGACTAACTATAGGCAATACAACTGGTATCAGATGTTCACTGTGGACAGTTTGGTGCTGGGGATGGGGTGGGGTTGCTAAGAAAGAGAAGACACAGTCCCCACCTTAAAGTAGTTCCAGTCTAATGGAGATATTAGCAGGCTATTTCAAGCAAGTATTCTGAGCTTGGGGTTTTTGTATGTAAGGGCTTTAATAAAAATAACTGTTTTGTAAGATACATACTTTTCTTCCCCAGAATTTGGGCAATGTTGTTTTCTCAGTTCCCAACATTGCACCATCTAGGTACCTGAGAAACTTCCTGCTTTCCTTCCTGTGGATTAATGATTGTGTTTTCTTCCTTTGCAGAAGAAAGGTGAGCAGCCAACAGGGCAGCAGCGGCGGAAACACCAGATCACGTATCTGATTCATCAGGTGAGAGCACTGAGGGCCCTGGCCTGCCTTGGCAGGACCCCTATAAACCTAGGATTTTGAAGGCTGAGATCTGGGCAGGCAATCTCGCCTGTTCACCATGTGGCCACCAGAGGGGGGTGTGTGTCCTTCAGTATTAGTCCTATTTCATGGAAGACTCAGGTACAGGTAACTTGAAATAAACTATGTAAGTGAAAATTCAGATATCCAAAATGTAAATGTAGAGGGAGTGAAATTGTTTATCACAGGGTTTTAAAAATAAATTTAATCCCAGCTGGTGTGGCTCAGTGGATTGAGCGCTGACCTGTGAACCAAAGGGTTGCTGGTTCTATTCCCAGTGTAGGGCACATGCCTGGGTTGCAGGGCAGGTCCCCAGTAGGGGTTGCGGGAAATGCAGCCACACATTGATGTTTCTCTCCCTCTTTCTCCCTCCCTTCCCCTCTCTAAAAATAAATAAATAAAATTGAAAAAAACCCCACATTTAAAAAACAAAGTAAGTTTATTTTTGTCAGTTACAGTTGGCATTCAGTATTTATATTAGTTTCAGGTGTTGAACATAGTGGTAGACATTTATATAATTTATGAAGTGATTTCCCCGATAAATCCAGTGGCACCATACATAGTTATTACAATATTATTGACTGTATTCCCTACAGGGTACTTTACATCTCTGTGACTATTTTGTAACTGGCAATTTGTACATTGTAATCCCTTCACCTTTTTGACACAGTCCCCCAATATCACCACGCGTACCTCCCCCCCCACCCCCCCCGCAGGCCCAATCTGGCACCCATCAGTTCCCTGTATCTGTGAGTCTCTTTCTTTTTTGTTTGTTTATTTTGTTCTTTAGGTTCCACATAAAAGTGAAATCATATGGTATTTGTCTTGCTTTGTCTGATGTATTTCACTTAGCATTTGTCGGTGGATGGGCACTTAGATTGCTTCCATATCTTGACTATTGTACATAATGCTAAAACAAACATGGGAATGCATATATCTTTTCAAATTACTGTTTTGGATTTCTTCAGATAAATACCTAGAAGTGCGATTGCTAGGTCATTTGGTAGTTCTATTTTAAATTTTCTGAGGAAATGCCATACTGTTTTCCACAGTGGCTGCACCAATTTGCAGTCCCATGAGTAGTGCACAAGGATTCCCTTTTTTCCACATCCTCACCAACACTTTTTATTGATTTATTAATGATAGCTATTCCAATGAGTGTGAGGTGATATCTCATTGCATTTTTTTAGAAATATTTTTAAGTTTATTTTTAGAGAGAGAGGAAGGGAAGAAGAAGGAGAGAAACATGAATGTGTGAGAGATGCAGTTGCCTTTTGAACAGCCCTAACTGGGGGCCTGGACTGCAACCCAGGCACATGCCCTGACTGGGAATCGAGCCTGCGACCTTTAGGTTTGCAGGCCAGCACCCAATACACTGAGCCACACCAGCCAGGGTTCATTGTGGTTTTAAATTGCATTTCTTTGGTAATTAGTGACATTGAGTATCTTTTCATGTATCTGTTGGCCATCTGTGTGTCCTCTTTGGAAAAATGTCTGTTTAGGTTCTCTACCCATTTTTTTAATTGGATTGTTTGTTATTTTATTGTTAAATTGTATGAATTCTTTACACATTTTGGACATTAACTCCTTATCGGATTTATCATTGGTGAATGAATATCTTCTCCCAGTTGGTAGATTGTCTTTGCATTTTGTTGCTAGTTTCCTTTGCTGTGTAAAAACTTTTTAGTTTGATATAGTCCCATTTGTTTGTTCTTCTCTTTTGTTTCCCTCTCCTGAGGAGATGTATCAGGAAAAAAATATTACTAAGGGCACTGTCAGAGTTCACTACCTGTGTTTTCATCTAGTTTTATTGTTTTGGATCTTATATTTAAGTCTTTACTTCGTTTTGAGTTTATTCTCGTATATGGTGTAAGAAGGGGTCTAGTTTCAATTTTTTGCATCTATCTGTTCAGTTTTCCTAACATCATTTATTGAATAACCTGTCTTTACCCCATTGTATATTTTTTCTTCCTTTGTCATAGGTTAATTAACCACATAGGTGTGGATTTATTTCTGGGCTCTCTATTCTGTTTCATTAATCTATGTCTGTTTTTATGCCAGTACCATGCTGTTTTGATTAATATAGCCTTGTTGTATAGTTAAATAACAGGTAGTGTGATACCTTCAACTTTATTCTTTCTCAAGATTGCTGTGGCTGTTCATACTTTCGTAGTTTCATAAAAATTTTGAAATTATTCTAGTTCTATAAAAAATGCCAGGTGTTTCAATGGGGATTGCATTAAATCTATAGGTTGCTTTGGGTAGTAAGGGCATTTTAATGTTGTTAATTCTTCCTGTTCATGAGCACGGTATATGCTTTCATTTATTTGTATCTTCTTCAATGTTTTTCTGGCTTTAAGTTTTTGAGTACAAGTCTTTTACCTCCTTGGTTAAATTAATTTCTAGGTGTTTTTTATTTTTGTTTTTGGATGCAACTGTAAATGGGATTGTTTTCTTAATTTCTCTTTCTGATACTTTGTAATTGGTGTATAAAAGGGCAGCTGATCTTTGGATATTAATTTTGTATACTGCTACTTTACTGAATTCATTTATCTGTTCTAACAGATTTTGGTGGACTCTTTAGAGTTCTTTCTATATAATAGCACATCATCCACAAATAATGACAGTTTTATTTCTTTCTTTCTAATTTGGATGCCTTTTCTTTTCCTTTCCTTCTCCCCCCCCCCCTTCGCCTTCCTCTCCCTCCTCCTCCTCCCCCTCCCCCCTCTCCTCCTCCTCCTCTTCCTCTCTCTCCCTCTCCTCCTCCTTCTCTTTCCTCTCTTCCTCCTTCTCCTTTTCCTCTCCTTCTCCTTTTCCTCCCCTCTCCTTCTTTCATCTGATTGCTGTGGCTGGGACTTCCAATATTACGTTGAAAAAATTGTGAAAGTGGACATCCTCATCTTCCTGATCTTAAGGAAAATGCTTTTTGCTTTTCCCTATTGCATATGATGTTAGCTGTAGGCTTGTCATATATAGCCTTTATTATGTTGAGATACGTTCCCTCTATTCCCACTTTGCTGAGAGTTTTTATCATAAATGGATTCTGGACTTTGTCAAGTGCTATTTCTGCATCTACTGATATAACCATATGACTTTTATCCTTCATTTTGTTTATGTGGTTTATCATATTAATTGATACGCAGATATTGAACCAACCTTGCATCCCAGGAATAAATCCCACTTGATTATGGTGTATGATCTTTTTAATGTATTGTTGGGTTCGGTTTGCTAGTATTTTGTTAAGGATTTTTGCATCTATGTTCATCAGTGTTGTTGGCCTATAATTTTATTCTTCTGTAATGTCTTTGTCTAGTTTTGGAATAAAAAAATGAGTTTGGGAACCTTCTCTCCTCTTGAATATTTTGGAGTAGTTTGAGAAGGCTAGATGTTAATATTTTTGTTTCTTCTTTTTATTTTTTAGTATATTTTATTGATTGTTATTACAGTTGTCCCACTTTTTCCCTCTTTGCTCCCCTCTGCCCGGTACCCCGCTTCCTTCCAGCAAACCTCCTCCTGCTTAGTTCTTGGTTCTTTGGCCTCTCCATTTCCTATACTATTCTTAACATCCCCCTGTCTATTTTGTACCTACCAGTTACGCTTTTTAATCCCTGCACCTTTTCCCCCATTCTCCCCCTTCCCCGTCCTAGCTGATAACCCTCCAAATAATCTCTATGCCTGTGATTCTGTTCCTTTTCTAGTTGTTTGCTTAGTTTATTTGTTTGTTTAGATTCAGTTGTTGACAGCTGTGAATTTGTTGCCCTTTTAGTGTTCATAGTTTTGATCTTCTTTTTCTTAAATAAGTCCCTTTAACATTTCATGTAATAATGGCTTGGTGATGATGAACTCCTATAGCTTTACCTTGTATGGGAAGCACTTTATCTGTCCTTCCATTCTAAATGGTAGCTTTGCTGGATAGAGTCATCTAGGTTGTAGGTCCTTGCTTTTCATCACTTTGAATATTTCTTGCCAGTCCTTTCTTGCCTGCAAAATTTCTTTTGAGAAATCAGCTGATAGTCTTATGGTAACTCCTTTGTAGGTAACTCTCTGCTTTTCTCTTGCTGCTTTTAAGATTCTCTGTTTATCTTTGACCTTTGGCATTTTAATTATGATGTGTTTTGGTATGGTCCTGTTTGGGTCCAACTTGTTGGGGACTCTCTGAGCTTCCTGGACTTGTATGTCTGTTTCCATCACCAAATTAGGGAAGTTTTCTTTCATTATTTTTTCAAATAAATTTTCATTTTCTTGCTTTTCTCTTCTTCTGGCGTCCCTATGATTTGGATGCTGGCACGTTTGGAGATGTCCCAGAGTCGTCTTATTCTCTCCTTGTTTTTTTGAATTCTTGTTTATTCTTTCTGTTCTGGCTGAATGTTTATTTCTTCCCTGTGTTCCAAATCATGGATTTGAATCTCATTTCCTTCCCTTCACTGTTGGTTCCCTGTAGATTTTCCTTTATTTCACTAATGTAACCTTCATTTCTTCCTTTATGTTGTTGCTGTACTCAGTAAATTCTTTGAGCATCCTGATCACCAGCGTTTTGAACTCTGTATCCAATAGGTTGGCTATCTCCATTTCGTTAAGTCCTTTTTCTGGGGTTTTGTTCTGTTCCTTCATTTGGGTCATATTTCTTTTCCTCCTCAATTTGGCAGCCTCCTTGTGTTTTTTCCTGTGTATTAGGTAGAGCTGCTTTGACTCCCTATAGAAGGCACCTGTAAATTGTGTGGGGCAGAGCCTTAGGTAATCACCAGGTTGGGACAATCTGCTTCACTTCTTTGTGCCTCTGTGTTGGGGAAGGGCTCGGAGAGGAGACTGTGCCACTACCTGGCTTCTGAGGGTTTGCTTGGCACTTGAGTTGTTTCCAGTCACTTCACCAACTCCCTGTATGTGACTGGCGCCCTTCTGGCTGTTGCCCTGGTGTTGAATCCCAGAGTGGGTGGGTTTGCATA